TCTCTCTCTGCCCCTCCCCTGCTCACTCTTTGTCTCTGTCTCTCAAAAATAAATAAACATTAGAAAAAAATAAGAAAATCTTAAGGAAGAGGAAATACATTTACAGTACTGTATTGAAAAAAATCTGTGTAAAAGTGGACGGAAGCAGTTCAAACCCATGTTGTTCAAGGATCAGCTGTATGTGCCTTGTGAAGAAATCAGTGTAAAGAGAACTCAGTAGATTTTTACTCCAAGAAAGGTCCTGGGCTCTATCTACACCAGTAGATTGATTAATGATGGCTCCTTTGTATGTTTTAAGTTAAAATAAAATATTTATCGTAGGTGTATGTCATTTTTTTACGACTTTCCCGCTCCATGTGGCTGGCTTCCATTAATCAGCCATCTGCAAATCCCGGTCACTTTGGGACGAAGGTGTCCGTTGGGCTTACACTCCAGGATATGGCCGTGCCTTCATTCGATCACTCCCCGTTCTGATTGTTTAAAATTCTTCTCTCTCTGGTGGTTCCAGGGATGTGGAAATACAGATTACACCTGCCCTGGATGTCCGCGGTTAAGCGCCGACGCGCGACAAAGTGTGGCCACACGTTTGGGGGAAGAACAGCATTGTGTTCATTCATTTTGTCTCTCTGAATGCACTCCAGGGAGGTGACTGCTCGTGCCGTGTCAGAGGTGTGGCGGAGCAGTAGTGACCTGCCGATGTGTATTTAAGCTCTACCTTGAGGTCACTTGAAAATGGAATTCTCCCTCGTTCTCAGCTGGTGTTTACTTTCTGGCGTCTGTAACCATTTAGACGTTGTAAACAGGGAGATTATGAGATCCCCAAACAGGCTTTTAAGAAAATTAATCACACATTTCTAGTTTTTAAAAGCCGTAGGAAACGAGAGATCGAAAAGATAACTTTTTATAATGTTAATTAATATCTATGCCAAAGTAGAAACCAACATGAGTGGTGTAGCCTACATAATCCTATTAATACCAGGCCAATTAAAGAAGCCTTACGTGATGTTTGGTAAGGGGAGGTTGAATGGGTTGTGTAAGATATGGTGACTGTTTATAGAGACTGTGTACTTTAGAAACCTGGGTAAATAGACTAAAAACTTTCAGAATTAGTGAAATCATTAATATGTTTGGGAAAAATCCATTGGAAAACCTTTTCTAGACACCATTAATGATCAGAAACTGTCTAGGGGAAACATTTCACTGCACAAAGCATAACCAGTTAAACCACACCTTTACCAAAGGGTATGAACGTGTGTTAGAATGATGAAAATTTTTAAAAGGACAACAATTTAGGCATGGTCTGGATTCCATTTTCTTTCTTTCTCTTTATAATGTTTCTTTTATTTATTTTGAGAGAGAGAGACAGAGCATGAGCAGGGCAAGGGCAGAGAGAGAGGGAGACGCAGAATCCGAAACAGGTTCCAGGCTCTGAGCTGTCAGCACAGAGCCCGACATGGGGCTCGAACTCACGAGCTGTCAGATCATGACCTGAGCCGAAGTCGGACACTCAACCAACTGAGCCACCCAGGCACCCCTGGATTCAATTTTCAAGTAGTCTCTACACCCAGCGTGGGGCTCAAACTCAAGACCCTGAGACCCCAGAGTCACATGCTCTTCCTGACTGAGCCAGCCGGCCGCCCCAGGAAGGTTAAATGCTTTAAAGGTGTCCATTCTCCCCAGGGTAACAAACATCAGAAATAATCTCAATCCATATCCCAATAGGGCTTTTGGGTGACACTGGACAAAATGACCCAACAGCGCATCTTGAAGAATAAAGAATTGGTTAAGGTGGCTACAAAAATTTTTGAGTAAGAGAAGTGCTTAAAGCAGATCATTGCTATGTTTAAAATACATTATAAAACTGTAGTCTCTAACACAGTATGATTCTGCCCCAAGTAATGACTAATGAATGATAGGAGAATAGGCAAATGATACAAATAACTTTGCAGAAGAAAAACACTAACGGGCATCACAGAAATGTACAAAGGCCTCAGCATCCTTCAAAATATGCAAATAAAAATTAACCTGAATGATGGACTGCTGTTTAGTTGTTGAATCATGAAGCTTTCAAAAAGTATATTCTTTTTATTTTTAGTTTTTATTTTTTGAGAGAGAGAGAACATGCACGTTTGCTCCTGAGCAGAGAAGGGGCAGAGGGAGAGAGAGAGAATCTCAAGCAGGCTCCAAACCCAGTGCAGAGCCCAACTTGGGTACCAGTCCCACGACTCTGGGATCGTGACCACAGCCAAAATCAAGAGTCGGACACTTGACTGACTAAGCTAGCCAGGTGCCCCCAAAATTATATTCTTTTTTGTTGTTGTTGTTTATTCATTTATTATTTCTGGGCTAGAGAGGGAGACACAGAATTGGAAGCATGCTCCAGGCTCTGAGCTATCAGCACAGAGCCCGATGTGGGGCTCGATCTCACCCACTGGGAGATCATGACCTGAGCTGAAGTCAGATGCTTAAGTGACTGAGCCACCCAGGTGCCCCAGTATTCTTACATATATCATAAGCAAATGTGTGGATAGGACCAGACCTTGTGTCTATTACTTACACTTTTAGGAATCCATCTTGGGAATATGGGGAGAGATAAAGAATTATAGACAAGGATGTATATTACAGCTTCGTTTGGCACAGTTAATTATTAGAAAGAGCCTGAGTGTTCAGCAGCAGGAGACTAGTTAAGTAAACTTGACATACTCCATTTTGTATTTTGTAGACATTAAAAAAAACTACGTTTTCAAAGAATAATTGATGATACAGCAAAATCTTCATCACACAATGATACCTATAATGATGGGGGAAAATGTTACAATATAATATTCATTTGTTCAACTAAGGCATATTGAGTGCTTCACGTGTCTCAGACAGTGCTCCAGACTCCCAGGATCTGTTTGAACTATGAAGAATTCCCTTCCTTATGGAGCATAGAGCCCAGGGAGGAATTATGACTGTACTGTTAATGATCATATAACAATATAAAGCTCAATTTACGAAATGACTCTCCTCTGGTAACAAAAAGTGTTTTTATCACCACGTAAGCATGTATAGTCTGGGGAGTCAAAAAGAAACACACACCAAAACGTTAATACTGGTGTTGTTTGGCTCAAAGTCTGATAGGTTTTTTTGTTTTGTTTTTGTTTCTTCCCTGTGCTTTCTAGTATTTCCCAAATTTTCCGTAAAATCTGACTTCTATTTCAGTGATCAGAACAAAGCTAAGAAAAAAGTTAAGAAAGGAAGGGAACTTACAGTGTTCCCTTCTCAAAATGTGAACACAAGAGTAA